GACATAACTACCCTATTTTCCGGCGTATAAGCCGCAGTTCTTTTCACCGCGCGCGGGCTGAAATGCGATGTCGTTCGCGATGCACGAAACCGCACAAACAGCAATCACTATCTATTTCGCGCGGTAATCTTATACGAGCTTTCTGCTTGCGTTCTTTATTTGATTTAATCTACTCTCTATCTCTAATCTCTTATAATCTACTGCTTTCAGTTTAAATTCGGCTGTATAGGACTTCCTCCCACCTATGACACCAAAATTAGCACACACACTTTTGAAGGAGTAAAAAAAATACCTGGGCCTGTAGTAAACCCCCCGGACGTCGTGACGTATAGCTCGGAGTATGCTGTGACATGTGCTGACTATCATGGAGCGAGGCTGGCAAAGCGGCTATCCTTTATCATTGCCAGCGGATGCAATCGATGCGTAGCGTCAGGGTAGTCGCACTTTGTCGCGATATGTCGCGACATATCGCGACATATAGCGACATATTGCGACATGTCGTGACGAACAAGACGGCGAAATACTTTGTCCATCATAGAGACGCAGAGACATAGCGCAAGACTAGAGCTCGACTACGCCAACCTCGCAATAGGTCGCACATGCACACAGTTCTCTATAACGCACGTCAACCGCAATCAATATCAACAGCTGATAAGCGCCTAAATGTTCGAGCAATGCGCCTCTCCCTATTCTCCAAGTACTTCTGCTGCTGCCGCTTTGGTATTTGAAAAAAGGTGAGTTTATTCTAACTAAAAAGTATGTTAGACTCATACTTAGCCATATTTTTCGTACCTATGCAGTTTTTCTTCTTTATTTTTGCTATGCACCTTGTTTGAGCAAAAAGTCCCTTCTTTGTGCCAAACTTTTGCAAATTCTTGATCTTTTTTCATCATTCTTGGCAGTTTCGACCACATATCTTTGCTGGTTGCTGTTCGTTAGCCATGCACCTCTCGTTTCCTTTCGTTTTTATGAGAAAGCACCGTCTGGCGTTATGGCTAATGGAATAGCCCATTTTTGAACGGACTGAATGCTGATGATAATATTTTGATTTTTCTTGTACACTTTCAATATGTATTCTACTTTAAATTCCATTTTCTTTCAAAAAGAAAATTCTAATTTACGTTTCTTTGCAAAATTCAGTTTGCCAGCAAAAAAAGATAGTGTCGCCTGGAACTTGTACCCCCAACGTCTAGCACACCGGCCTCTCACACTGGCACTGCGCTAACTACAAGCTATGTTGAGTTGTTGAGCTGTTTCACAATAATTGCAAAAGTGGTAGCTAACCCTTCAACAATACTTACGGATAAGGCATGCATATCGTTTTCCCATACTGATTTGCTGCAACTGCTCTATTTGCTACATGTATGCTCTCCTTAGCAAAGCACGGCGTAGTATACAGCGCAGCGAATTTGCGCGCTGCTAGACCATCTGTGTCTTGGCACGGAGCTGGCACGAATCTGGCACGGGCTGACACGCTCAATTTTTATTGAGGGCAACAGTCAAATATGGTCCTGCCATAGCGGATAATGGCGCTTCTTACAGCATGGTGTACAAAGATAAGCATAATTTTGCAACAGACATAGATCAACTGCGTTTTCCTATCAATATTGATGAACATGAGATAATGAGTCAAAATATGGAGAAAGAGGCGCGCACACGCGAGGATAGTTAGTTACTGGATTTCCTTTGATTGATTTAACTGCTCTGGCAAGCATAGTATACTACATTCTTGCCTTGCTAAGCAAATACCCCACGGCATATCTGTACTCATAGCGCAGCGCGTGTAACCGCTGTTATCGCGGTCATCAGCGGTTCAATGACGCGCGGAGGCGCTCGTTTTGCGGCGCCCTGCGGATAGCTCGCTATAGTCTTACGAGATACTCCGAGCTATCACGACATAGTCCCTCTATGTTGTGACAACCACGAGGGGTTTACTACGGGCCCTGAAGACATGACTATCCGCACTAGAGCGCACCGAGTTTTCAATTTGCTACATAATTCTTTTCAAAGGCGCTTTCGCGCCATTGTTCGCTGCGGCGGGTGCGGCTTATATAAGGTGCGGCTTATAAGCCGGAAAATAGGGTAATGACATAACCGTATAGGGATAAATTTAAATGAGGCAAATATAGCAGTGACATTCAAAAGAAGCTCAAAAAAAACCGAAGGATTGCGTTTTTATGGCCTTTTTTGTTGAGAAGAAGGTTTTTATTTGAAAATTCAATCAAAATCTAGGGCAAAATTTCTCAATTAACCTTTCTCTGAACTGCGGTTGAATGTTGGAAGTTCATTAAAGCCGCCAGAGTTCAATAAAAAAGAAAAACTGCGCTCAAATCTTCCGCAAAGAGTCGCCATATGAATGCTGGTCTATCTCGTTATGGAGTGATTTTCAAGACCCGCAACGTTGTCGGTGCTGCTGGCCATCTCATGAGGATCACAATGATATATAATGTTGCAGGGTTTCTTTGAGACCCCGCGAAGATCCACGACCGAAGCCAAATGCCCCGTCGGCTCTGGTCTGTCTCCGCTGCTCGTCTGCGTCTCCGCGCGCTGCGCGCTACCTCGCTACCTCAAATGCGGGGCGCGGGGCATTTGGCTCTGATACCCTTTTCTTCGTTGTTCGGAGCCCAATTTCGATAATCTATATATCATATCAAAGCTCTTGATCTCTATTCTCACGCTGACAACGTCGCGAAACTTCCTTTTAGGATTTAAACGAGAAATTCTCGAAAAACGGCGTTTTCGAAAACCTCTTGTTCTTTCTTCAGTTTAACTTTTTTCACTCAGTTTTTTTGTGTATTCGATAGGCCTAGTTTCTGTCTATGATATAGACAACGTTGCCGAGCTTACTTCTTTCTTATGCCGGGTTTTTTTGTGAAAAATACAAAAAAAGTGCGTTTTTCTTTACTTTGTTTTCTTTCTGTGCTTTTGCAACGAATTTTTTCCAGCTTGGACGCTACTTGCTCAGAATGATGAGCGGAAGAATCCAGACAACGTCGCAGCGTACGAAACAACTATGCGGGGGTGAAAATTCAAAGGACGCATCAAAAATCAGATTGGCGTCGATGTGCAACACAACTTTACAGACATGTTTGACACGTTCAATTCAGTTGTTGACAAGTTCTTCTTCTTTCGGTCTCCCAACTAACGCCACAGCTAAACAGCGCTTTTTTTGATTGGAAAAGAACTTTGTTGTTGTTGCCACCCAATTTAACCGGCAATCCTGGAGACGAAACTCTGCGTAGTAAACCACCAAGTTGAGGTTTCAGATTTGGTGATGTGCTAACCTCTGCTTTATATGAATTTTCTGAGTTTCCTATTTATTTTGTATCTCTAAATTTTCGTCTATTTTTCTGAAACAACCTTCACTTTTTATAAGGGGCAGGAACTCAAACAACTATCACTTTCTAGCCTTTGTCTCTTGACTATCGAAGGTATGGCTAGAAGATATGAGCCGTTGCTACATCCATCTTCATTTCATTTTATCATTGCCATTGGTGACCTTTTCTCCGGCCTCGTCTGGGTCTTCACTCCCAACGTTGCCCCTCACTCTTTAGCTCTTGGAGACCCACTTTCTTACCTTGACGCGCCTCTGCTGTCGTTACCCTATGTCCATACACCGCACTCATGCTTCGATTTCATTTCGCTCATGTCTCCTTCAACAACTCGCTCTCGTAGACTCATCTCAGTTTTCTAAACTATCACCAAGTGCGTCTGCAAGCGCAGCTTGCAGCACTATGGCGGTCACAGGCCGGAACGTAAAGGAGCTGCAGGATGCTGCGGCACAAGCGCTCACCGACGTATGAACCGACAACCGCCGCATCACGGCAAATGTCGCATAAAAACCCATGCTACAGATGCGTTTGTTGCAAACTTTGATGAATCGTTTTCTGTGTATGGGTCCGTCAAAGTCACGGACCTCCATATGCAGGAAACATTACGACTCAGACGCCAATACCCTCACTGCCGCCCCTCAGATGACATCCAAACATAATACGTCCCCTTACTCCCCCACTCCCCCCAGATGACATACGAAGCAAGTTTCGAAAATTAAAATATGTGGACAATCCGAGGGTAAATGGCTAGCAAGTTTTCTAAGTTAAATCATAAAGAGCGTAATGTGCTTTGCGACTGGTAAATCAGCACAAAGATCTCAATAAGGAAGAACGAAGGAGACATAGCAGACTGCGTATCTTACTGATTCAATCCGACTGGAGAGCCGCAGTCTAACATCGAATCACACAGTGTGATTCGATGTGAGATTCGAGAGTGCGTTTGATCGGAGAGACGCCGACCGCGTCTGCAATTTCGTTCTATCTCTGCGTGCGTTGACCCGCCTATACCCGCTCATGACTGGATATGTTTGAAATGGGATGGGGTGCAAAATCTAAGCATCCGCTTCTGCGCATTCATCATTAGTGAAACACTGACACGTCCGCAGAGAAAATACTACGCCCATCTTTCAGGTACCATAGTTGGTCTCATGCTTTCTCAGTAGCATGCTTTTGCTGGATTGCTCTACGAACACCAGCTGCATTGCATGGTTTGGATGAAATAGAGCGATTAGCGCTCTTGATTGCATGTCTCTGTCATGTTATCGACCATCGCGGCACAACAAATGCTTTCCAGCTTCAATCGGTGCGTTTGTGTGAATTTTAATTTCTGGATCATTTTTAGTAGTTAATGTCTATCAAATTCTTTTTTAACTGTATTCTGTAGTTGACTGGATGTTTTAGAGAACACCTCTTGCTCAACTGTACAGTAGCGAAGGAAGCGTTTTGGAGAGGCATTATTATGCGCAGACTGTGCAGATCTTGCAGGTTTGTTCAGTTTTTTTCAACTTCATCCACTTTTTCTAGTGCATTTGATTCCTAGTCTACCTAGTTCTTACACTCATCTAATTAAGTCCTTATAGCGCAATTTTCTGCTTCATTTATTTTGTTTTTTTCGATTAGAAAACTTCAGGGTGTTGCTTGGTCTACTGTAAATGTGCTTGTTTTCAAATGAAAGAATGCAACATTCTTGATCAGCTGACGCGAACGCAATATCAAACTGTGCTAAGCCATATACGCGATGTAATCTTAGCTACTGATATCGCGGTTCACCTAGGACAAGTTGGCAGAATCAAAGCCATGGTCGACCGTAGGTTTTTATTACCGAATAATGCCGATCGAGTTTATATAGTCTATGTGATTTTCAGAAGACTACGATCCAATGTCTCGTAATCACCAATATTTATTCATGTGCTTACTTATGACATCCAGTGATCTTTCTGACCAGTCAAAGGATTTCAGTAATTCCAAAGCTATCGCGGTAGGTGATAGATTTGGGTCTCATGCGTTTTTGTTTGCAGTTTCTATCAGGACATAATCGATCTTGTTGATTTCAGGAGAATATCTACAAGGAATTTTTCTCACAAGGTGATCTTGAGAAGCAGATGGGTAATAGCCCCATGGAAATGATGGACCGCGACCGCGCAGCAGTGCCCAAGATTCAGCTCGACTTCATGGATACTGTAGCTGTTCCTATCTTCGAGTATGTGCTCATTTTCTGAAGTTCACGTTAATTCCACTAATGCTTCCAGAATGGTGGCCGAATTGGTGCCAGAAGGCACGTCAACACTCGAGGCGATTACAATGAATAGACGGTGTTGGGCTGCTCTTGATGAAATCCTAGTTGAACAAGGTAATCGCCATGTTCTCGGGCTAGATTACCTTAGAGACGATGAACTTGAGAAACAAGTGTTGGAACGGGTACAAGAAAAGAAGAAAAAGCAGAAAAAGGTCGGTGTTTACTTTTGTTTTCTTGTTTTTTTGCTTTGCTCTAATTTTGAGTACAGAACCCATCTTTTTCGATTTTTTGAGTGAGCCGCTCAGCCTCCTCGCTGTGCTTCGGAAAATGAGACTCATTCCGCGCAATACTCTCAGGCAATATGCAGCACTATACATAGTTTTTTGGTCGCGAAGTCCTTCGGCGCCATAGAGATAATGATGCTGATAATGAGATAATGCCATAGAGATATGCATGCTCCACGTGTAGTAATGGCATGCATTAGTGTGTAATGGGAAGATTACGCATTACACGCAGATTTTAGCATATTTTTACTGAAAATTTGCGATTGTAGTTACTTTCGTTGGGAAGAGCTCATTGATGAGCAAGCCATGTTAGGGAACGGCCATAGGTTGCCGGCAACTGTTGTCGGTGTTGTCGGTTGTTGTCAGTATTGTCGGTGTAGTCGGTTGCTGTCGGTTGTTCTCGAAGTTGTCGGGGTTGCCGAGGTTGCCGGTCGTTGAGGACCTCACGATAGCCTCCACGTTTCACACGCTCTCTAAACTGTCTCTGACCCCGACAACACCGACAACATCGACAACAATGACAACACCGACAACACCGACAACCGTTGCCGGCAACCTATGGCCGTTCCCTAAGTGTAACTTCTTATTTCCGTTTCCTACCTACAGCGAGGCATTTGTGCCATCAGGGGTACTAATCCCAGTTGCCTTCAGTTATGCGAACGAGTTGAAGATGGACTTAATAATCTGAGATCTGCGCTCGAAAGTCACATCACCAAGGAAGGTCTTGCAGCTATTGCCAATGTTGCAGATACGGCATTCACGGTAGATCAACTTGTTTTGATTTTAGAACTCGTTCATTAGTTTTTACAAAAACATCGGGTTTAGGTTGATCTGTCCAAGGTGGTTATGAGATCTGATCTCAAACAAGAAACTGAGCATGTCCAGAAGAATGTTGACGAAGACAGGGAGAGTGTGCAACGTGCAGTGTGCTACAACTTCGCGATAGGAGTGCTAGTGACTCTTCTGCTTCTTTCTGTTCCTGGAGCGGGTTGCATACCCAGCGAGGACGATCGCCCTATAAATATGGTAAGAATACTACAAATACATAAACTACTACAAATACGAATATATACAAAATACTATTTTCAGAAGGTGCAGTGCGAGTCTTCCGGATCACAGCCAACCAACAGAGATCCGATAGGATACCTCTTTAGTGCAATTTCTCCCGCTGTCTGTCTGATACTGTTTTTGGTTGTTCACAAATATAAATTTCCCGATCAATTTATTTTTCATTTACACTTCAGGTGCTTAACAAACTCGAATTCTCGCTTCCAGCACCAGCACCAGCACCAGTACGCCCAGCGGAGTCCGCGCATGAGTCGGCTCAGCCCCTTATCACTCCCCCTAACCAGCCATCACCGCCAGCGGTGATGGCTGGCGCCGCGGGCGTTGGGATTCCGATCCCAGCGCCTCAGAGATTCCCTATGTTGACTTCAGGGGGGTGTGCATCTGCACTCCCCCCTGAAGTCAACATAGGGAATCCCTGAGCATTTTTACACCCCCAGTTTTACAACAAGCAGCCGCCCTACTCGTAAATCTTTACTAATTTTCCTGCTGATCTCCTTGGATCGTCTAACATTGATCTTCTTCTCTATCTGATCAAAAAAAGCTCAAAAATAACCTCTCCTTTTCTGATCTCATAATTTTTCCTTTGCATCCACTATTAGTTCGTATAGAAACATTTGAAGTTCAAGTTTGTTGGTTTTTTGAAAGTTGTTTTTTGGAGGAATTGAAGTGCCCTGAATAAAGTTTTTATGTATACTTTTCTTTGCTTTTCACACAGTCGGAAGGTGGGGGGGGGGGGCAGGGCGAGGGTCAAAGGGGACTTCGTAAAACTCTTGGAAGTCAGGGGGGACATCGTTTTTCAAAAGGCTAGAAACGGACTCGTGCCGGGCCCTGATCACACTACTTCAAAACATTAGAGTTGTCACCGAATCAGTTCAAGTTCGTGAAAGGTTAAATACAATCGACACCATTCACTCGACTCGGATAGTGACGTAGAAATAGGGAGCCAGAAGGAACTTGGAGCCTTTCTAGATTTGAAGGAAGCTTTCGATAAGCTGCCCCGTGAAATCAAATGGCACGCTTTGAGTACACATGCTGCCAAAAGTCTACGTTCACAGGATAATATACATCTATTACAATGCTTCAAGTCGCGCAAAAACAGCTACAGAGAAATCAAGGTTGAGCTACATCAATCTTCAGTTCTCTTTTTTTTACTCTTCATGGCTTCGATGGAAGCCGTGATGGAACCACTCATAGGTGAACATCCTTGAACACTTCGGCACTTCTCTACGCAAACAATGTGATCTTGATAGCAAGTACTGGATAGGTACAAAACTGCAAAAACATTGTATAGAGTTGTATGGCTTGCAGTTCAACATCAAGAAGACAGATCACATGGAAATGGGAGAACAAATTCCCGGTACCATAAGCTGAAAATCTCGTGATTCCAGGTCAAACTCTCAAAGGAAGATCACAAAATCCACAGAATTTTGCTTCATAAAGCCCTACATGGTCACAGAACGATTGAGATAGATCACAAGCAGAAGAAAGAAGATGCTGAAGAGTCAAAGAAGACAAACCTTAAAAATACCTGGACAGTCATATCTTAGCGGAAGGAGTTTTAAAAGAAGAGGTCGCAGGCAGGACGGACACAGCGGGGATGAAGTGTGAAGCTTTAACAACAGTTTGCGACTAAAGAATGCCAAAACAGCTCAAGTTTCAGCTGTACTGGACCGTTGTCCGTTCAACAGTATGTATGGTAGAGAGTGCTGGCCATGTACGCGGAACGAGGAGCGCAAGTTTATTGTTGTAGAAACAAGGATGCAACGATGGACCTTAGAAGACTTTGGAAGACCCCATTCTGTAATGGCACACGAACCAAAATAAAAGAAGTAGCTTAAGGCGCCCAGAAACAGAGATAAACAAAGGCAGGAGAAGAGGTTGCGGTGGTACAGTCTGTGCGCAGAATTGAAGAAAGCCACATACGAGACTTAACGGTGGAGGCACCAGGTAATAGATATAGGGGTAGACTTGAGATGAGATAGATGGACAGAATCAGGGCCGATCTTCGAAATTTTGAAGTAGGTCAAGACACTGTTTTGAATAGGAAAACATGGAGACATTTAACAACAAAAGGAGACCTTCGTGAGCAGAACCCATGCGAAAGTAAACAATCTTCTCCATTTCTTTCAAGGGGGATCCAGGGCCCAATACGAGTCCGTTTCTAGGCTTTTTGAAAGCGAAGTCCTCCCTGGCTTTCGAAAATTCTAAAATTTGCCTTTCATCCCTGCTCTACTCCCCCCCCCCCTCCCCATCGTGCAATTGTTGGGAGATTCCCGCATAGTCACTTAGTCCTTGAAAAAATCATTTACTTGCTGCGAGCTGAAAATCTCGCGATTCCAGGTCAAACTCTCAAAGAAAGATCACAAAATCCACAGAATTTTGCTTCATAAAGCCCTACATGGTCACAGAACGATTAAGATAGATCACGAGCAGAAGAAAGAAGAAGCAGAAGAAAGAAGAATGAAAGGAACCATCAAAAATGGGACAATAAAGCTGGAATTGAAATTGAAAATTTAAAGAGAGAGGACGCAGAAAAGTCGGTGCTGGGGCGCAATATCTAACAAGGTGATTTTCAAAAAAAAGAGTGTAAATAACGGCGGACAGGGGAGGGGAATATCAAACTGTTCCTATGCTCAAGGATAGCCGGAGCATCCGTCCATGCTAAAGAAATCGAAACATATGTAAAGTGACGGAAATATATGCTACAGACGACCTCAGATTGTCTGGTGGCCGTTTGGAGTCGGACTAATTTTGGAAAAGATATTACCTTACAAAAGTCTTCAAATCTTTTTACATAGCTCTCCCGCAAATAATTCCCTATGTATACGGTTTGATCTTGGTGTCATATGGTTCTGTCTGTGCTGTAGACAAGCAATTTGTTTATTTTATCCTTGCTTTCAAATCGCATCACTTTTCGCCATACACGATAGAGCATGTCAATCCTGTAAAACCTGTCCGAAAGGCTTGCGTTTGTCAAAATGGCGCTTATCCTTGGTACTCGGCTCTGACTCCGCAAAAACGATACCCCCTTTGCTTCAAGCTTTACAAATTTGATTTGCATAAAGTTTGGAGGCAAATTTCATAGAGCACTTAAGATCCAAAAAAGACGAAAAAAATCGTATCTCCGTTCAGAAAAGCCCTAGGAACCCCTAACTTGCTCACGCACGGACTTACTATACAACACGCTCGTATGCATCTTTTCGCGGTTTTTCCATGGCTGGAAATTGAGAAAACGAAACTTGGCATATTTTTGCCAAAAATCTTGAGCTTCTTTCGAATAGGTGATTCTGTAGTACGACATTTGGGAGTACAACCATGAATTTTCAGTTTTAGATAAGCATTAGTTTTTGAGAAAAATCGAATTGTTTGCAAAAAACCCGAAAACCGCGACATGTTCGCACTTTCGACCTGTGTCTATTTGTCGTACTGTAGCCATGGAAAAATGCTACAAAGTATACAGGTGAATGTTTGATGTGAAGAGTACATGCCCGTGCAATTTGGAGATCCCTAAGACGTCTATGGACGGAGATACGATTTTTCGGGTATCTGGAATTCATTTGGGTTTAAACTTCAGGTAGAGCAAGATTTCCACGAAGGTTTGTGAACTACCTTGTACAGCTTGCTTTGCTCTATCAAATGATACCTCATTCGCTGTTTTTTGTAGTCACTCTGTCGCGGTAGGATGCCATACGACATTATTTTCCAGACAACCTAGTACTTCCAACGTGCCGCAAACAGGTATACAGCATTAATGCAAAGGTGTTCTTCTCTCGAGATTTTTTTCCTTATCATATTCAAGTGAGTACAATTGCTTCAAGAACACAAAATATGATCTATGAACTTACGATTTACCACCTTTAAGAGTAATTTCCAATTCTGGCTTGCGAATGAGTCACTAGCTGTGCCAACCATTCTTTAACACGTTGACGACAGTGCCGCGCTATGGTGCGCGGCGGCCTTAAATTCAATACTATCTGTCGAATCCTCTCAGTTTTTGTTCATATAATCAACATAGGCTCAGACGTACTTCATGTTTTAGCTCCGCCCCTTTTGGCAAACTCCGCCCACTTTTATGCCTCTCACAAGGATCCTTTTTGTCCACAAATAGCATGGATGAGGCTGTAGATGAGCGCAAAGACCTCAAGCAACTTCTAGCCAGGCCCCGCCCACCGTCAGGCAAGCTCCGCCCCCTGAGTGGGCTCCGCCCACTTTTCAAAGTGGCGGAAATCGCATAAATTCTTGGAATTTGGGGAATTTTTGGTCGAGTGGGCGGAGCTTGCCAGAGGGGGCGGGGCTTGCACATTTTGTACTTCGTGCGTGGATGCATGCATACATACATGGGCCACGCTTAGGGATGCATGGAAACGTCTCGTCCACAGGGACAGACCGCAAAAAAATGGCTCGTCGTTAACGTGTTAAATTGGCGACACCGTACATAGCGAAAGGTTATTCAGTCGGTCACTTAAGAAATTTACGAAGTTAAGGAACATTTTCTCACGGAATGGCAATTACCCATGCCGAATAAATTCAGAATCACTTTCTTCTCACTTTTAGTGAAATTAAAAAATCCAGCAAGAAAAGCAAGATCATGGAATACTTTGAAACTGAGCTTACATAGCTTACAAGAAAAGGATACCAAGTCGGCGATTGAAGATGAGAAGTATATCATTACGCCTTTGAACACTGATTCGATATCTGCTTTCCTTTTTTGCGGAATAAGTTTTCGAAGGAAGTTGTGGGTGTTCAAATGTCCAATTTTGTCAAGGTTTAGGTAGCCTAAAATTGGCGAAAAGCTGTACAAAAACACCGGAAAGGGAAAATCATTTTTGCATCGATTATAATGTTTGCAAGGAAGAAAGAAAGCAGGTGGAAACCGCATAGTGTTGTTCTCGAGCTTTTCGCTGATTTTAAGCCACTCAATGCTTGACAGATCTGGACATTCAAACGCTCATAACTTTTTTCGGAAACTCATTCCGCAAAAATAAAAGCGGATTTGAAATCAGCGTTCAAAGGCGCATCTAATGATACATATCTCATCGTTGCCAACTAATGTTTGTATCCTTTTCTTGTTAGAGAAGTGACTACTGTAGGATTACGGTAGGTAAGTTGAAGGGGGTTTGAACCATAAAAAGCCATATTTTGCCTTAGAAAAACAAGACAACTTGAAGACTCTCACATTGGGCTTATCAGAGTTACTGATTCCAAATGTTAAATTCGCAGTTGATCATGATGCTTCATCATAAAGTTATGCGAGTCAAGCAAAACGGCCTTTATAATTCCGCCTCTTGGAAAGCTTTGCAATTTTGTGCATAGCTGAGTATTGAACACAGCGTCCATAAAAACCCTGTTGCACGAGTTCTCACATTTTCCTGAAATTTCTTGAAATGACAGCTTCTTCTACAGTAACACCGCGTGCTTGAAGATTCTATCGTAATAGAGCAATGAAGAGCGATCGGTAATTTGCTCTATAGTGCAAATCTAAGTTGAAGTTAGCTCTAGAAAACGTATATAAGGCTCCTCGTGAGCCTCCATTACAAGAGAGTTATCAACATTCAAACAGTAGGCACATTCTTATGGGACAATTTATAGAGAGGAGGGAGTATATTTCCTATGACAAGTGCATATTTGAGACTTGTTCAAGTGGATATGACTGACATGAACACGTGTCTCATATACTCAAACCTGCGTAAAATGAGAAAGTCTTTATTCATCTGTGAATTAGGGGCACTTTTTCTGTATAACGCGCTCCTCGGTGAGCTCCAATGCCAGATAGTAGTATGTCTTTACTTTACGGCCTTTGTTTATATACTTTGATGGGATGTCTATGCAGAATTTAGTTCGTTCCTAAACAGCATTCGTGTTATCTTATGAGTTCGGTACTTCACTTCTTTTAGGAATCTATGATCAAAAAAAAAAACAAGCTGTACCTTATTCCAAGTGCACCAATGTATGACCATGATGTATGGATCGATTTCGGTTACCTCTGTAGCAGTGCCTTCAATTTTGAATTTTCCAAATTTACCCGGTTTGGCGGGTTGTTTATTTATGAGTCGGACTGTGTTCACTTAAATTCAAAGATTGAATTGAGCTCAACTTTGCAGTCCTGACTCACAAGGTTCCCTCTCAAAAATCCATATTCTCGCATCATTGACCGGTTTACGGTTACAAAGAAGTTTTCCTTTTACACCAGTTGACTGTTCCCACCCAAGTTCCCAACAGTAGCATGATGAGAGAAGGCACAAGAAGGTTAGCGTTCGCATTCTGCAATCATACCCTTCATTTGTCATATAATAAGCACCGGTTTGAGAAAAACGATAATTGCTTCATACAAGTAACTAGCTGGCTTATTGGCTCCGCACGGCCCTGTCAAAAACGATATAGGTTCCATTTCTATCTCTGTACACCTTTACCTGTGCCTACTTACTTAGATACTTGGATGGCCCGGCTTCACGTGACGTGCGGGCCCCAGCTCAGAAGTTTCTATTTCTCCCTGTTCCTCGCTTCAGACATCCATGATCTTCTTGGCTGACGTCGGTGGCTGCGTCCATGAGTTCCAGGTGCAAAAATCGTATCCAGCTGATTTCTCAGCTGGTCCATCCGTTCCACAAACACGTCTGCCCATCTCGTTGGAGGTCTTCCTCGGGACGTTTTGCTTCGCGAGGAATCCACTCCGATGTTCTTAGTGTCCATCTCTTGTCTGTTCTTCTCATGATGTGACCGGTCCATCGATGCTTCGCTTTCGCAACGTAATCCGCTGGGTCACGAAAACGGGACATCTTCCTCATATCCGTACTGCGAAGTCCAAGGAAATGTTGTTTGTGTCGGGTCATCTTCAGAAGACTACGCTCTAGCGCTCTGTGGGTGGTCCTTAAAGCTTTCGAAGTGGCTATGGTGTCAGCCCAAGTCTTAGCTGCATAACAGAGCGACGGTCGAGTCGAACAGATGGGCACGAAGCTCCGGGTCCGTCAGTTGGTCGATGGCTTCCTTCAGAGGCCCGAAGGCGGACCAGGCTGCTCTTCTTCTTCTGTTAAGTTCTTCCCTCAAGTCGTTCTCCATGTTCATCGAACTTCCGAGATACACGTAAGAAGACGTTTCCGTGATAGGGTTGCCTTCCAATTTCATTTCTGCATCTTCGCAAAGGGCGTCCCTCATGAACTGAGTCTTCTTCCGATTGATTCGCAATCCGATCTTCTTCCCTACTTCGTTTAGTTCCTTCAGCATCGTCTCTGCTTCAGTGATACTGCAAGAGAAGGATGTCGTCCGCAAAACGAAGGTTCGAAAAGAATCTCCCATCACTCGTATGCCTCTATCGTTAGCAGTTGATGATGCTGATAGTCTTCCGATGTGGAGGGCTCGTAGGATGCCTAGTCGAGGTGATAGGATCACGTGCGAATCGACAAGATGGACGATAGATGGGTGACGACAAGGCCGACGCCTCCCACGTTTCGTGATGGAACCTTCTCACCACGAATGATGAGGGTCCCATCACTCATCTGTCGCACGTCCTTCTTCCTGGACTTCGTTTCCTGCAGAGCGATGACGTGGTACTTGATGTGCTCTGCAGCGTCGAGAAGAGCGTAGAGGTCGGCGTTTGTAGAGACTGTCCTGGCATTGTAGGTGCAGAGCATGAGGCAATTTCCATGGCGTGTCGTCAGGGCAGACGTGTCGTTTTTGTCCGATCCAAAAGGCGCGCTAAAGACCCTGACATCGTTCTTGCTACCACCCAGCGCCGTAGACGGGGTCCGATGTACAGGGTTTTTTCTACATCTTCTTGCTGTCTGAGTAATAAGATTTGTTCCCCTACAAGAGCAGACTTACTAGGCCAACTCTTGATTTCCACGGGGCGATCGCTGACCCCGCCTGTGCCCATTTCTACATGCAATTCCCTATTACCGCTGTATTAGTAATCAGCATGCTCACCTACCTTCCTCACCAACCCCCCAGCCCCGTAGCTCGAAATCTGCAAAAAACAGCAGCAAAAAATCCATAAAAGTAAGGATAATTTTGAAAAACTGATGGCGTTATTCGGCTATCCGGGTCCTAAAATGTTTTGCGGTGGGTCTTGCTCAAACTCGGTATGTGAGGGTTATTCAAGCCGCTGATGACGAATATCGTAGTCATTTCGCGTGGCAGCGGGTAAAAATCATGAACCTGCCTGAAACCTTGGCAGGGAATTACCTAAAGTGCTGTCTCAAAAATATCGTACTTAATCCCCATGACAAAAGCAGTTCGTTTGGTATAAAAGTTTCCCACGACCGTAATGCTTCCTTATAGGACCACTGCCGCGCACGATACACCCTCGGGTGGCTTTTGCCTAAGCAAAAACAGGGGGAGGGAGATTTGCCGCATGCGTTACGCGTTGGAACAGGTTATCAGGATGGCGTTGGAGACCGCCATGAAAAACAACCGTTTCCCCATTTCGCGAGTATTTGGAATTGGATAAACCCGAAAGCGAAAAAATGTCCATTCAAACCCTGCAACTCACCATAACTTCACTAATGCGTTATGACAGCGAGCAAGCGTCATATTCATAAGCAGTATACTTGTGAACCGTTACAGGTAAGGTTTTGAGCAAATCTGGAACTTCGACCTATCTACACCCACCGTAACCCAAGAAAATGCACTATCCTGCGAAATCAGCATGATATTCATATTCAGCGCGCTAAGTGACCACGCTAGACAAAGTGCAAAGCAAATCTATGTTTTCGACCTCAACCGTATAACCACCATAACTCTATAAAAAGGTACCAATATGCAGGGAGAGTATGAAATTCGTAATCAGCATGTCGAATAAGTTCTCTGGACCGAACTCCAGCCGAATTCATGATTTTGACTTCCTACCGTACACCTACCGTAACCACACGGGGAGACGTTCTGCGGAGAAAGTGTGATATCTGTAATCAGCATGTAAGATAACCCTTATACACGAAGTTTGAGCAAGCTCTACGACAAAAAAAAATTGGGGCCCGGATAGCCGAATAGCGCCAAACTAATATTGCATTCGTAATCAGCATGCTCGATTACCCCCCCCCCCCCTGTGCAAACTCCGAGCCCCTTAGGTAAACTCTGTCAGCAAGTCGATAAAAATCAATAAAATCGATTCGATCGATGATAAAAAGTAGCCTATGACACCCGTCGGGGTCCGAAGTGTATGTGTGCCAAGTTTAATCCGGATCGATTCAGAAATAAAAATTTCTATTCGGAACATACGTACATACAGACAAACAGACGTTCAGCATTATATATAAGATAACTAGTCAGTGACAAGTTAAATCGTTGAGTTAACACTAACATTGGTGTTTCAACGACTTATGCTTAGCAATAACTCTCTAACCGAAATTCTGATTATGCATGATGATGCTACAGTTTATTACTGCATATTCCTCATACCGCGGAAGATTAGAATTGTAAAATCAAAAATTGCAAAAACATATCATTCGATAAAGCGAAGCTTTGAAAAAGATATCCTTGAAACATCCACGCGATGGTTTTTTTGCTAGTAAGCTTAAAAAATATAAAATTGAGACCTTTGAAAAATGAATTTTACACCCTTAAACTTTCCTACACTCTACGCGTGAGAGTTTGGTAGAAACAGTCGTATCTTCTTTTAGATGAAAATCAAAAGAGGACGGAGTATTGATCAAAGCAATGTTTGCTTGCTTTCACCTAAGTAATTCTGTCTCTGTTTTTTTCGTATTCTAATCAGGAAAATACGGCGAGTGTTCTTGTAAATGTTAGACTTCACGTGAGCAACTTGGGGATGTGGGAATTTTTGAATGGATGTTCAGTTATTGGGTTTTCAAAATTTTTTCCTTGACTTCAAATTTAGCATGGAACAGTCTTTGCACTGATGCTTCAACTTCTTGGAGGTTGCTTTGCTATAAGAACAATTTGCTCCATTGAGGAGCATCATTGGTAACACTTTCAGCTTTAGGAAGACCATGCAGGACATATTTTTTGCAATCGATTGAAACACATCAAAACAGAGAAACGAAAGTTACTGGTAAAGAAAACGCCTCAACAGCTATTTATGTGAGCGCAGCTTCGATATAACCGCAGCATATTTTTGATTTTTGATATAGGAAATTAGTATTTGCACTGATGTGTTGATGAAATCGGCGTCCCAAAGCATTGCTTAACTGTGAAAAGGAGATCAAAGCTTAACGACAAAGCAGTAAAGTTGACAAAGCATTAATATTCTTATAATACATTCGAAATGGCATGGCGATGAATTTATTAAATACACAAAACTGTTCGCATAAAGGAAACACGACCCTTTCCTTCTAACGCATATAGTCTCGTATTCATCGCGGAGTCAAGTCAGATTTAAGGAGCAAGAAACTGCACCACATTCTTTGTTTTTCATTGTTAATGTCAAACATTTTCATGAGGCTGCAGAGGGATGGAGCCGCTAAAACATGAGACTTAACTTTGAAAGTGTTCTGCCTTGTCCTATGTCGTTCTTTGGAACCTGCACATGCATCGGCGCTGTTTCTTGCCTCAGAAGCATAAAGATAACTGGACAAAAGGAGATCTTCCATGATTCTCCATTGAATTTACCCATTCTGCTATTCCATTATCCATAACGTGAAAGACGAATGTGTATATGTGTGTGTTTGTGTTCGTGTGTGTGTATTAAACTTGGGTCCGAATAGAATAGAAATTCGATCATTCGAATAAAACATTCGAATATATTCGTATTCGAAATTCGTATTCGGAGTTCTTCCAATTTTGAAGAATCTTCGAAACTCGAATGATTGAGTAGACGGGGTTTCGAATAAAACACCGAACTCGAATAATCAAGAAACAGGGTTTCGAATAAAATTCGAAACTCGAATAATCAAAAAACGAGGATTCGAATAGATTTTATTCGAATGTTTTATTCGAATGTTTATTCGAATTCGTACTCGAATGAACTCCGTATTCAAATTATTCGACTTTGTTGCAGAGCCAACTGCTGAGTATCAAGCTCACTTCGTCCGCGTTTTTTTCGCAAAACTCGTAATGCATCTTTTGCAACCGTTATGACCTTCAAACGGTATGGAGGGTCGCATTCTTCCGATTGCTTGACAGTAAAAAAAATCATATGTGGATTTTAACTGATGCTTTTTCGATCAACGAGATTGTTCGCACTGCTATTGGCACCCAATCAGTAGGAAAGCTATCAAATTCAAGCTCATGTTTCGAGGTCATATATTGAAAGTGCTTTGAAGCCTGTTTTTTTCTTTGGATTGCTCATGATTGTGGTGCGCAAAGCCCAC